GAGAGTTTTCCAATTTCGTCTTTCGATAACCTTTTTAGCGTCCTGTTTGCCTTTTTATTCTTTTAATTAAGATAGATTAGTTAATGATTTTGATCTATTCAGCTTTTGAACTGCCATGTATTTATGAATTAATAATAAACTTCAAACAAATTATAATATTTAAGATCCAATTTCATCAAAGAAACGGCCTTCCTTTGTGTTTCTTGAGAAATACTGAGAGAATAGCCAGGTAGAAGTGAAACATGGTATTGGGTAGACTTAAGTATTAATGTATATATTTACAATTACTAAAGGAGGTTCACTGTGGGTAAGTAAAGCTAACTCTGTCTCCTCCATGGCTGGTCACGCCACTCAATTCGAAGCCAATCATAAGCGTTGCATCAGAAAACACTGCAATAGTCTATGCATTGGATTCGGCACATCAGAATTACGTCACGGCTTTCTTATGGATTGTTTCAACTCAGCCTAGCTTAAAATGCTGCTCTCCTACCGAGAACATAAGAACACAAGAGTATAAGAACGGGAGTATAACTTAGTTTCGGCGTGATACGGCAGTATGATGACTTGATTTCAAACGGCTTGCCCGCGTTGCGAAAAACTAATTAGGGAGTTTGAGAAACGACGACGGCGACGCCGTGGACAACTTCGGTTAAAAAAATAAACTTATATTTTATCTAGAGTCCCACGATACTCTAAAGTCATTTACTTTGTTTCTCATTCTCGAACTATCTCGAAACTAAATATGGAACTGTCAGCGTTAAAATTAGAAATAGAAATGAGTGTAAAACAATAGCCGTCGACGTTCACGTTCTGCATACGACGCAAAGTCTGATCATTTCACGTTATTGTTTTCGCAGAGGACGCAACGAAAGCGATAACTGGTGTTTGAAAACAGCTGCAAAATTATGCTAATCGTTTAGCAAGGTGTTTTATACCCTAGCAGAAGTCACGTTCTTAAAACGAAATTTTCCTTCCAGAAAGGAATACGACCTAAACTGCCTATTTGAAGTGTAGACAAGCAACAATATTATTCGACCAAACGATGTACGGTATCACGACTTGTGTTTTATTGCCAAAGCTTGTGCTTTCGACCGTTAAAATAGAAGATATTCGAGGTTCATGGCGAAGACGTGGAACAGTTTTTCGCTAGTGCTTCTATTCGTTTCAATAATACGACCACTGAGACCAAATATCCCTTAACCCTCACAGCTGTCATTCGTCGAGAAACTTAGTTAGAGAATGGCGCTCAATATTTAGCTTATGAGCTGACCAATAATGCCAACCAGGTACGGTGTTTACTGACCGAATACAGTATTATTATGGCCGCGAAACTAAGGATCAATCCAAACTACGCTAAATACACGAAATCTGTGATTCAGAAACCGTGGTTGCGACATATGAAAAGTCGAAATCGAGAACGGCTGTAGAGCTAGGCTGGGATATGTACAATCGGCAGTTCTTCTTCTTCAAGTGTACTTACGAGAGCTGCGATCCAACATGGCATGAACAAAAAGCTGAGGAAAACGTAGCGTACTTCAAAATGGTCCACGATGCCGAATGCAAAAAAGATAACTGCCATTGCTAGTTGAAGAATCGAAATAATTTTCAATTCTCGCTGGCTAAACGCCATTTTGAGTGGAATATTTCCGCGACGTTTAATCTAAAATATTTACATGATAACTTTTAAAACCGAAGTAACACAATAACTCGTTCCCAGACTCATTGCAATTTGTTCGCTTGTCAGGGCCAATCTGGTTTCTGGATAAATGTGATAATTTAACTAACGTGACAGTGAGCTGGCAAAGAGTCATCCAGAAACAATCGCTCGTGTGAATAAGCCTTAGCAAGTATGATTTGTAAGGCTTCCCTCCCTTTTTTTCTTAATACGTGACGGCTTTTTGAACTGTCAATTCTAAGGTGAAATTGGTTGATATTATCGATTATAAAAGGCCTTCTGCTTGACGGGGATACATACATGTTAGTCAGGAGAAGGATTTTCATGACGGCCCTGCAAGCGTTTATGGTTTTTAATCATTCGGGAGGGGGCTGCGGCGAAGGAGGAGGGAGGTCTCACCAAACCTTGTTTTGTGAAAAATCAGTGTTAGAAATTGAAAAATACACGCAATAAGTAGCCTTATTCTATTTTATTTTGCTATGGAGTTGAAATGAATGAGTTTTAAATGGACGAGGAGAGAATTCTACTCACCCATGTCTTCCCCTTCCCCTCCCCCCTCGAATAAGTCTCCCGTCTGATTAATTCTTTCCCTCTCCCCCCACTGGGGATAATTGAAGCGTTTATAGTAGTTATTCATTTGCAGTGAACACCGAGCGAGCGCCTGATCGCAGAATGGCCATCACTGGTTGGGCTGCAACTGAGGTCGCTTGCTATTGCAACTCGATCGGCATCTGACCAGCTTCAAGTCGGTCATAAGAAACGCTTAGCTGTTAAATTACCCTGGTATATTCAATAGATTACACTCCATCAGATATTTTCTCCTGCATGATTAGTCTAAACGCGATTTGTTAGAATCGAGGACTATCCTGTAATATATGATCGGTAATTGTAATGGATGATCGGTAATTGTAAAACTCGAGAATTCATACGATGGTAAATTTTATGAATGCACTTTACATGTTTTGCATGTTGTGGAACCGAGGTTATACCTCATGAAAAGCAATGGATGCAACAGTAATTTTAGAAAACACTGTTTACGGCAATTTAGGACTGCCTAGCAGAGTGATTAACTGTCTGACTTAAAGACTGAATACGACTTGATTTTCTTTTGGCCCACTAACTGACGGATGACAACTGACACCCGGCGATAAAGCTGGCTGTCATTACCAGCTGAATAATCGAAGTTATTTTCAATTCACGGCAGCTGAAAGATATATTTAATTGGATATTTCCGTCACTTTTAAGCCAAAATTATACCTTCTAAGATCAAAATTCTCGAGAAATCAAGTTGGGTGGAACTTAATATATGTACAAATCTGCTGCTAAGGGAATTTTAACTTCAGTTCCTAAGCCTCGGTTCATCGACAGGTCATCTTAAGTTAGGATCAAAGAGCGATAAATAGAGTGGTTAAAGGTACGAGATGCCGAAGGCGGGCAATAATTCCAATTATTATGTAATAATAATTATTATTAAAAACTGGATCATTGGATAATGCAATTCAAGACTTTTTATTGGCTTAGCCATTATGGTATATGGGCCAATATACCATAATCTACAAATATGGTAAGCGTGCGCGTCGGGTTAAAATGAAAAGGGAGGTACAAAATTTAAGATTTGGTAAGATTGTTTAATATCTCGGGGGCGTTTTCAATAAAACAATTATTCCACTCGCGCTTGTTGGATATGAGATGATTATAGCCAACTCGGCGCTACGCGCCTCGTTGGCTATTTATCATCTCATATCCAACACGCACTCGTGGAATAATTGTTAAAGATGCAACAATAATAATAATAATAATAATAATAATAGTAATAATAATAAGTATCCAATTATTATGCAATAATTCCAATTATTATGTATTTACATTGTCATGTTTGACGTGCGGCCGCGGCCGGCATAAAGTTCCGTGAGAAACCGCCGACGAATAATGAGCCTTTCTGCGTTCTAATCAACAGACCTGTACTAAGTGTTCTCTCCCCCCTCCCCCCCCAAATTTAATCATCAAAAAGTTAAAGTAAACCAAGAGGGCCTCAAAAGGATGATGACTTTTAACGATAAAAATACAACTAAACAGACAGAAACAGAATGACTGTTCTATGCGTTTCTATGTACAGTCGAACCTGTTTTAAGCGGTCTTCTATAAGGAGTGAGCGAGAGTTGTTCTAGTGAAGATTGCTACAGGCCGGGTCATCAAAAGAGTAAAAATAAGCTCAGAAATACGTAAAGACATACTTTTGAAACTCCTATAAGCTTCCACAACGATCTTCTACTCACAATATATAATGGATTTTTTCATTTAAGTTTCTTATCTTATTAAAACAAAAGTTTTGTCTTGCTGTTGTAGTTGTTATCATTACTTTTGCTAAAATCTGTCAGAGCTTATCGAATATATTTAGAAAAATGGACAAATATCGGCAACCTCGAGTTTATAGTTTTCAAAGTCATCGAAGACTTTCCACCGTGGGAAAGTAAAGATATTAAAGTATCTAGGCCAAAGATTGGAATACAGCTGACTGTCATTAGAGACAATGTTGCCGTAGTAATGACGTAAGTATAAAAAATCAACACCCAAAACAGAATCCTGATTGTATCTGCTAAACATCTGGAGAGGAAACTTTGAAATTAATCAACTAGGCTTCTCTTCGTATCTCGCCCTCTGAAGAGAGGTTTTATTCGTTGATACTTGAGGGAGCTACCTTAATCTCCTGTACTAAATCTAAAATTCTAACTTGCAGAGCTTCCTTTTTTTTCGTCAACAACATGTTGGTGTCCGCGAACGGTGACCAACCATGTAAAATCAAAGGCTTAATCCAAATCTTTTTAGAAAACAGTCACTAAGTGTTACAGTGTTTGACGCAACGTTAATCCAAAATTTAGGAAAAACGAACGATGCCTCATGGCAACGTTCGAAGATGCTGCCACTGCGCATGCACGAGAACTTATATGTCCAGTATCGTAACCCAGGCGACGTGCAATGTTATTTGCTACTCCATATTCTCTACATGATGGTTTCTGAAGCCCTGTTAGGATACAATTTATTCGCGTTACATTTCAGTTGCTTTCCGTTACATTATGTTACGTTGTGCAAGTTGTTACCATGAGATCGCAGCTTTAACGTTGGTTAATCGCCCAGGGTAAAGTTAAAGTGTTTAACATAATATTTTTATAAGCGATTGTACACGGTCACTGAGCAAGCAGACAAACTTTCCGTAACTACATGCGCTGAGGCTGCTGGATGCCACCACTCCTATGGTTGGCTCCAGTGATCGGAATTGCCACCATAGTCTGTTGTGGAAAAGGCTGCATTTGGATCGGTACTTGGCCGTTTCCTATTTGATGATATTCATAGTATGGCTAAAAAATAAAATAAAACATCCATTTGTTTAATGAGAAAGAGAGGGAAAAGCGGCCGAAGGGAGAAGGGAAGGAAAATTGGAATGGAGGAAAGGAGAAAGGAACGAGGGAGGGGGGGATGAAGGGAAAAGAAGAAAAGAGGAAGGAACGGGAGGAACATGGGAAGGAAAGACAGATATGGAGAGAGGAAAAAGAGAGAAAAAGAGTGAGAAATGGAAAGGAGATGTAGGAATAAACTGAGGGATAAAGAAGGAAGGGGGAAAGAGAGAGAAATTGACGCTAAAAGAAAGGAAGAGAAGAATAGGGTGAGAAATGGAAGAAAAGGAAAGACGAGAGGGATAGATGGGGAAAGAGACGAAGGAAGGGAGGATTAAAGCAGAGAGGAAGGAGAGAGGAAGGAGAGGAAGAATTAAAGGAAAAATGTAACAAGAAAAACTGTGGGAATGGAGGAAAGACGAATAGAGGTGGAGGATGAAAGGAACGGAGACAGGAAATAAGAGAGGTGTACAGGGAGGTATGGGAGGACGAGAAAAGGGAGAAAGGAATGGAGGAAGATGGAAGGGAGGGGAGAAAAGGGAGAAAAAAGAGAGTTAGCAATACAGAACGAAAGGGAGGAAGGGAGGGGAGGGAAGAAAAGAACGAATAGAGGGAATGGGAAAGGGAGGTGAGGTGAGACGAAGGAAGGTGAGGGAAGTCGTGCAAATGCAAAAGAAAAGGAAGAGGAGAAGAAGTAAGGAGGGAAGAGAGAGGAAATAAGATAGGATTTCCGCGTGCCTTCCTCGAGTTAGTGCCCAATTCGATAAGTGATTTTCTTCCTGAGTAAAGCAACATACCTGATATTCTTGTGGCGACTGACGCCCAGCATCACTGCTCCGAGCCATCGCCACGGCGAGAATGATCTCAGCCACGGTAAATATGATAATCAAGGCATGTATGGCTATCATAGTGTTTTCCTGGTCTTCAAACTTGATTTTTGCGTCTTTAGTCCAAAAGTAAGGATAGCCTTCATCGTCGCTTTGAAGATTATCATAATTGAACCACAATATCCCTTTCAAAGCCCATGCATAGGATTCAACTACCACTGCACAAACCACAACAGAAGCAATATTAATTGAGTAGAGCCAGTTTTTATTTTGAGTAGAGCCAGTTTACAGTAGAGCCAGTTTATCAGGGTAGATGGGGCTCTTTAGCCGCGGTGAAGGCAACCCATCTAGGGGAGG